TACACACACACACACACACACACACACACATGCACACGCATGCACACACACACACACACACACACACACACACACACACACACACACACACGCACACAGGCTTCTGTCTGCACACACAGCAACAGCTTTCAGCGGCTGCAAAGGGGAAGACGTGCCCCATCATCCACCCACATGCTTACCTTCACTGAAGCCACTTTTGCCAAGTGCCACACGAGTGTCTCCGTGTCACTCATGCTCTCACTTCCTCTCTGCTCAGCGCTCTGTCATATTCAGCATTTTCTTAAGGATGATGTGTGCGACTAATAATGCTAAAGCTTCAGTTTAACAACACAAACATGGCTTTTAATTTTTTTTTATTTGGAGGCCCAGACAAGAGGAAACTCTGGGGTTTCCTTTCCAGTGGGAGCCTCCGATGTAGTTGTCCTGTAGTCATGGTAACAAACGTAGTTACCATCGTGATACACTCTGAACCCAACCAGCTAGCTAGAAGGTTACCTTCAGAAAACTCCAGAGTCCAGTTGCGAGCATTATGCATTTTCTCCCATTTGAGGATTTTTCTGACAGAGGTAGCCATGACTATTCCTGCACAGGCTCGGTTTTCCATTTTGTGGATTGCTTCTGGAGGAAACTGGAAGCGTGAGGAGAACACACTTCCCACGGAAGGGTCTGCAGAGTTTAGGTTTTAACCATATCATACACCTCTATGCATGCATGAGGTCAGCAATGTTGGCAGCTGGTGAAATTAAACACAATTCACTCCTTAAAAGGTATTATGTTGCAGAGGATTGTTAAAACTGACCGTGCAACTACGTTAAAAGCAGCAAAGACATAATTCTTCCTGGTTTTTCTTGCAGTTTTTTGTACATTTTTGAGTTCTTATGAGTTTTCAGGTCATTTAAATTTAGGCCAAGAAGAGCTCAAGCCTAAAGTGACTGTTTATGTGTCCTCACTCACTGGAATAAAATTCATGTTAGAATAAAAGACAAATCAAAGTTTAACAACCTAAGATGGAAGACCAGATGGAGGAGCTCACACAGACTCCTTATTTTATAAACTTTTCATTAACGCCAGTTTGGCTGTGGGTTGAATTCAGTTTTTATTTGCTAGTTTCCACTAGAGAACATCCATTCATCCATCCATTCCATTTTCATCCGCTTATCCGGAGTCGGGTCGCGGGGCAGTAGCCTAAGTCGAGAGGCCCAGACTTCCCTCTCCCCAGCCACTTGGGCCAGCTCCTCCGGGGGAATCCCAAGGCGTTCCCTGGCCAGGTGAGAGACATAGTCCCTCCACTGTGTCCTGGGTCTACCTTTAGGTCTCCTCCCGGTTGGACGTGCCCAGAAAACCTCACCAGGGAGGAGTCCAGGAGGCATCCTGACCAGATGCCCGAGCCACTTCAACTGGCTCCTCTCGATGTGGAGGAGCAGCGGGTCTACTCCGAGCCCCTCCCGAATGACCGAGCTTCTCACCCTATCTCTAAGGGAGAGCCCAGCCACTCTTCGGAGAAAACTTATTTCGGCCGCTTGTATCTGCGATCTCGTTCTTTCGGTCACTACCCAAAGCTCGTGACCATAGGTGTGGGTAGGATCGTAGATCAACCGGTAAATCGAGAGCTTCGCCTTCTGACTCAGCTCTCTCTTCACCACGACAGACCGGTACAACGCCCGCATCACTGCAGATGCAGCACCAATCCGCCTATCGATCTCACGCTCCAGTTTTCCCTCACTCGTGAACAAGACCCAGAGATACTTAAACTCCTCCACTTGGGGCAGGACCTCCTCCCTGACCCGGAGAAGGCATTCTACCCTTTTATGAATCAAGACAATGGTCTCAGATTTAGAGGAGCTGATTCTCATCCCAGCTGCTTCACACTCGGCTGCGAACCGCTCCAGCGAAAGCTGAAGATCACGTCCTGATGAAGCCAACAGGACCACATCATCTGCAAAAGCAGAGACCTGATCCTCAGGCCACCAGAACGGATGCCCTCCACACCTTGGCTGCACCTAGAAATCCTGTCCAGAATCGGTGACAAAGGGCAGCCTTGGGCGGAGTCCAACTCTCACTGGTATCAAGCCCGACTTACTGCCGGCAATGCGGACCAAGCTCTGACACCAGTCATACAGGGACCTAACAGCCCGTGTCAGAGGGCCTGGTACCCCATACTCCTGGAGTACCCCCCATAGGGGGACGTGGTCAAACGCCTTCTCCAAATCCACAAAACGCATGTAGACTGGTTGGGCAAATTCCCATGCACCCTCCAGGATCCCCCTAAGGGAATAGAGCTAGAGAACCTGTATAATTTAAACCGGTGGCAGTGTAAATGTTTATAAAACCTTCAAAAAACTTTAATGACGTTTTAGAGATTTTGTGATTTAGGAACAGCAGTAATCAGATTAGAACAGACATTTGCTCATTAACGGGTATCAGTGAGTACTCTAGGCCATAGTCAAGCTGATCCGTGAACAAAAAGTCAAGCTGAGCATGTGATTAATAATTATGATTAGCTAAACAGAAAAATGTCAACTTATTGTCCTTCTTGTCCTTGTGGTTTACTCCAGCAGCAGTCACGTGCTATCTCTAGTGGATTAAAAGCTGCTCACACACACACACACACACACACACACACACACACACACACACACACACACACACACACACTCACACACACACACACACACACACACACACACACACACACACACACACACACACACACACACACACACACCCTCTAGCATCATAAACAGGTCTATGTGACGATATAACACTAAAATAACAAACGAGATAAACAAACTCGACTCTGTGGGTCACTATTTACATCTGATTGTTTTTACTGATTAGAATCGTATTTCTGGTGTTTTCTGTTGATGCTTGAGTGTATTTATTTATTTATTTATTTATTTTGCCCGTTACCATTTTCCTAATAACTTTAAATAGCCTCATCATGTCTACAGATTGCTTTTTTGCCACCCGCTGCCTGTTCCTCATTTACTCACCTAGGTCTATTATTCCCACACCTGGATTCCATATTATTCCCGGCAGCTCCTGTTTTCCCATCACTGAGTCAGAGTTGATCCCCCAATAAGCAGCTGATTCCTGCTCAGTTTGACTCATTTCATTTCTGTTTCTGTTCATTTTGGCCTCCTGGTGCAGAAATGTCCTTGACTTGGTTTCACTGAGAGATAATTTGTGTTTTCTGCCTCAGTCCCCTCACTTGAATAGTGACACACTTACTCGTAGGCACGTTAATCTGATTCCCTCATGTGCATGACAGAGTGGATTTAAAAACTCTTCTATTGGTCTACAAATGCCGATATGGTCTTGATTCCCCCTGCCCCTCTGACCTGCTTCAGCCCAGTGTTCCCTCGGATCCGCAGACCAGCTGCAGCCCAGAAACTAGGCTGAAGCTCAGAGGTGATCATGCTTTTGCAGTGATGGAACGGGTTACCTCCAGGTATTAAACAGTGTCATCTGTGTTGTGTTATGTAGGTAGGGATATTCTACACACACTCAGTAATATGTCATTTTTAGAGCTGCAAATTTAAATGTAAATTGTGATGAAAATCATGATTTTACTGAAAAACAACATATTTTCTTCAACATGCCCACCTCTCTTACAAAATAACATAAGAACAGACTCGTCCAACAGCGCATTTTCATTTGTGTTAATTATCCTTTAAAACCTCATTAAACTCTTTTTAATTGCACATCAATCTCAAATGTTGTCAAAATGTGCACCTATGATTATATTTATTCAATAAAGAGCCTGTATATGATGAAACAGGCCTTCCTTACTCTGTGTGTACGTTGTGGTAAATGTGGGATGGCTCAGAGGCAGATGTGTCGTAATGCTACTTAAATGATGTGAAAGAGACAAGCCCCGATGAACGAAAACCAACTCCCAGACTCAGATTTGTCTGTTTAAACATCAGAAATAATTCGGTTTATTACCTTGTAATGGCAACAAGAATCAGTGCAAAAGGATTTGAAACATTCCAGGCATCAAACTAGATTAAGGCCTAGTCCACACGTAGCCGTTTTTTTTTTTAAAAACGAATATCCGCCCCTCCAAAAACTTGCATCCACACCACCTCGTTTAAAAACAAAACTCTGTCCACACGTACCCGGATAAATACGTTGTTAAGGACATGCCAGACCTGTAGGCGGCAGTACTTCCCCCGTTCTTAACCTCGTCCTTCGTCTGTGGTCTTCCGCAAGGAGCAGTAATTCCGCTTGCAAAAACAAACAAGCAAAAAGCGCTTGGACAATTGATAAAGCCAGCGCAGCTCTGAGGGCATCCATGCTGTCGGCTAGTGTAAACACAGGTCGCACACGTGATGTCAGCATTTTTTTGCCGCGGAAAGTGACGTTGCGGACCTTAAAACTCCGGTTTTGTCTGTCCACACGCAGACACCCAAAACGGAGAAAACGCAGATCTTCACTTTGGCCGGAGTTTTTAAAAATCTCCGTTTTCGTGTGGATGACAGACCAAAACGTAGAAAAATATCCACGTTTTGGCAGATCCCCGGCTACGTGTGGACAGGGCCTTAATAATGCAAACGAAGACAGATGTGCTGCATTGTGACCTACATTTGGACTATTTTGTAGCACCGTTTAACTACGTATGACTCTTTCTGTGCGTTTTATCAGTTTCATGTGAGGTGAGAATAGAGACGCTGTTCACTCTGCGAGCCCACACAATGTTCATGATGATAAATCTGAATCTTTTAGCATGAAAGTTGGAAGAGGCACAGGCTCCCTGCACACAGCAGCACTCTCCGACTGCTCGATGGAGGACAAATATAGTGCCCGTTTCCATGGTTACGACAGAAAACGCATCCCTAAGAATGGAGCACCATGAGGATGCACACCTACACACACAGCCCCCTCCTCCTTTTGCCACGTGCAGATGAGGAGAAACAGGAACAAGGTTTGCGTGAACAACGAGCACCTGTGGAAGAATCCTTTTATTCTTGTGATGAACAGGTTGAAGACAGACTCACCGTCACGGTGGGGATGGCGGTGACGAGGGAGTAGACGAGGACAGGCGGCGCCTTGCTGTTGTCCTCGGGTCCCGGGTATGGCTTTGAGTAGGCTTTGTCGAAGCAGAAGAAGCCCTGGACGTGCACTGGGAACGTGTCGGTGTACTCAAAGTAATACGCCAACAGAACGGTCCCTGCCATGATGACCAGCTGGAAATAAAACATATTGGTCGCAGCGTTAGGATCGGAGCCAGTGGAGTTGGAAAAGGAAAGGCAGCTGCGGGAGAAAAGGGATGAAAAAGTAGAAAATATTCTCCCTTCACGGAGCTAAATGATGGATGCTCCCGTAATGTGCAAAGTGAGCCATTTGTGCATGGAGAGATAGTGAAGAGAGAGAGGGAGGGAAGTAAAGACACAGATGGAAGGAGACAGATAAAGAGAAATCTAGGGAAAGCAGACTGAGAGTGAAAGATCCCTTCAGCGGTGTCAGCGTTCAGAGTAGGAGGGGAGGGAAACAAATAGAGCCCGATTAAAAAAAGAAACAACGCTTTATGCAGGAGCGGGAGAGGAACTGAAAAAGGATGAGGGAGAGGGGATGAGGGGAAACTCGGGACGAGCGGAGGGAAGAATTATGTATGCATGTGTGGATTTCTGCATAACTTCACTCTGTTCTGGCATTTTAAATGTTTCAACTGCATACGCTACAATATAAAATACAACTATGACCTGCATTAGTGACGCAGCATGCATAAAGAGAAACCGCGTGTGTGTGAGAGAGGAGGGGAAAAAAAGGATGGTAAACATAAAAAGTGTAAAAACCTGCTATTTGGAACACATAAGACGGATGCACCGGCACTGATTTATTCACTTCTAGTCCAGTAAATAGCACGCTCATCTTTGCCTGTCTCACAAATAAAATACACCACACAATCCAAGCATCCATCTGTAACTGGAAATGTGCATTTGCTCTCTGAGATTAACCTAAAACTGCACAATAAATGTAAAAGTCAAAAACAGGAAGCTTCATCGTCTTCTGCAGCCTGAGTGTTTGCGGGAAGAACTTCTGTTGTATCCGAAGGACACATTTATCAGCAGCAAAACACGAGGATGAGCTGGTTTACAGCTGCAGGGGGCGGGCGGCAGCAGCTATTTCAGCAGACTGGCTCCTCAGAGAGGGAAGAATATAAGATGTAGCTCCATTAAAAATTACTAATTACACCAGAAACTGAAAAATATTGATGATGAGTTATTCATTCCCACGCCACTAAAAGTGTGTTTGCTCACTAAAATGATGTAAACAAAACATCTACGAGATATGTTGCAAAAAACATATTGTTTTCTAAAAGGTTTAACTGTTATGTTGAAATAGCCTTTTTAGCCTAATGATTAAAATTTGTAGTCAAATTTATCAACTTCTGGGATTAATTTGACCCTTTTCCACCCTTTTTAACTCTATTTTATGTCAAATCCAACTGTGGCAAAACATTCTGATTCTCACAGTCTTTAGCTGTGCTTAACACACATTTAGAGTGTAATGTTTGTGGTATTCTGAGGACTATTGGCATTTGAATCTCAGGTAAAAAAAAGGAGGGTATCTGCTATACCTTTATGAAAAAAGGGCAGGTGTGTCAGGAAAAATGGAACCTTTCCTCTCTGCCAGTGAAGATTACCAGATGTAGCATTTGCAAAAAATTTGTCAAAGTTGTTCTAAGATCCGTGTCATTTAGTCAGAATACAGTCATTATGACTATAGAACATTACAACAGATGAATTCATATCAAAGGGTCATTGCAGCTAAAAAGTACCAGAAGTAGCCTTCTTGCTAGCTCCTCCACGGGAATCCCAAGGTTGTCCCTGGGCAGCTGAGAAACATCATTCCTCCAGTGTGTCCTAGGTCTTCCTTTGGGTCTACTCCCGGTTGGACGTGCCCATAAATCCTCACTAGGAAGGTATCCAGGAGGCGTCCTAACCAGATGACCAAGCCATCTCAATTGGCTCCTCTTGATGTGGAGGAGCAGCAGGTCTATTCTGAGCTCCTCCCAGATGACCAAGCTTCTCACCCTATCTCTAAGGGAAAGCCCAGCCACCCTGCGGAGAAAACTCTTTTTGGCCGATTTTATTTGTGATCTAATTATTTTGGTCACTACCCAAAGCTAGTGACCATAGGTAAAGGTTGGAACTTCAATCGACAGGTAAATTTAGAGTTTCACCTTCTGGCTCAGCTCCCTCTTCACTACGACAGACTGGTGCACTGAAGAGCATCAATCCGCCTATCAATCCTGTGCTCCATCCTTCCCTCACTCATTAGCAAGACACAGAGATACTTAAACTCCTCCACTTGAGGCAGGACTTCGTCTTCTGACCTGAAGAATGTGTTCTACCCTTTTCCAACTCATGGTCTCAGATTCAGAGGAGTTGATCCTCATCCCAGCTGCTTCACACTCGGTGGCAAACCACTCCAGCAAAAGCTGGAGATCACGGTTTGATGAAGCCAACAGGACCACATCTGTAACGGGCAGGCGGAGGCGCTGCCACTGCCTTGACTGGAGGCGGAGGAACTGCCACTGACTTGACTGGAGGAGGAGGCGCTGCCACTGCCTTGACTGGAGGCAGAGCCACTACAGGTGAAACTGCCGGAGGTGGCGCCGACTTGGCTGGAGGCGGGACCGCCGGAACCAGAATCCCTGGAGGTGGGTGCGCAGACTTGGCTGGAGGCGCAGACTTGGCTGGAGGTGGGACCGCCAGAACCAGAATCCCTGGAGGCAGGTCCACTGACTTGGCTGGAGGCACCAACTTTGCTGGAGGTGGGACCGCTGGAACCAGAATCCCTGGAGGCGGGTCCGCCGACTTGGCTGGAGACGCAGACTTGGCTGGAGGCGGGACCGCCAAAACCAGAATCCCTGGAGGCGGGTCCGCCGACTTGACTGGAGGCGCCGTTATGGCTGAAGGCACCGTAATGGCTGGAGGCGCAGACTTGGCTGGAGGCGGGACCGCCGGAACCAGAATCCCTGGAGGCGGGTCCGCCGACTTGACTGGAGGCGACTTTGTTTGGGGCTCTGGACTTAGTGCTGGCGACTTGGCTTGGGGCGCCAGACTTGGCGCTGACGGCTTGACTTGGGGCGACGCTGTAAGCGGAGCCTCTTGGATAGGTGGAGCCACTGCGGATGAAGCCCCTTGGACAGGCGGAGCCGCTGCTGGTGTATCCTCTGGTGGCGCAGGGACCACCACTGGACCTGGATGTGGTGCGGCCACTGGGACCACTGCTGGACGTGGATGCGGTGCGACCCTGGGACTACAGCTGGATGTGGATGCGGTGCGGCCACTGGGACCACCGCTCGACGTTGATGCGGTGTGACCCCCGGGACCACTGCTGGACGTGGATGCGGTGCATCTTCTGAGACCACCACTGGACATGGATGTGGTGCATCCTCTGGGACCACCACTGGACATGGATGCGGTGCGACCCCTTGGACCACCGCTGGACGTGGATGTAGTGCGTCCTCTGGGACCACCGCTGGATGTGGATGCGGTGCTGGAGGGTTCTGGGGCAGGTGTCCATCACTCACAGCAGGTCAGACCCTCTGCGGCGACATCCTCAAGTGCAGACCCATAAACACTCCGGACATAAAGGTGATGATTACCAAGGGCTGGAACCATTGTCAACTCCGGATGGGTGGAAAAGAGGGTATTTAACCCCTCAGCCGCCTGCAGTCGCTGGTGGGGGCATAATGGTCTGGTAACGATGACCCAGAGAGAGTTCTCAATCTTCTGTATCATCAACCTAACTGCCTCCTCTGTCAGAGCCGGCTTAGGAGCATAACGTGAGATGTCGTCTAGGGAACCCGCTGACACCAGCACGGGAGAAGGACCAACATTTCTAGCAGCCCCAGAAGACTTCCAGGACCGCGACTGACGTGGCATGGCAAGAAGGGCTTGAGGCTGGAGCGGCGTGATGACCGGAGGGGCTTGAGGCTGGAGCGGCATGATGACCGGAGGGGCTTGATGCTGGGGCGGCGTGATGACAGGAGGGCCTTGAGGCTGGATTGGCGTGATGACAGGAGGACCTTGAGGCTGGAGTGGCGTGATGACAGGAGGACCTTGAGGCTGGAGTGGCGTGATGACAGGAGGACCTTGAGGCTGGAGTGGCGTGATGACAGGTAAAGCCTGTGACTGTGGGGGCGTGGCTGATAAACCTTGGAGCTGGGAAGGCAGCAAATTAGCGGCGGGTCTCCAGGGCCGCCTCCGACGCGTTGTTAGGAGCCGTTTGTGCAGGACTGCCATAGCAGGTCTGGACGGAGGGTTGAAACCTCTGTGCGGCGATGGCTTGATTGCCTGGAGCGTTCCCCAGAAAGGCGACTCCTGTTCCTTAACCAGCTCCATGAACTCAAGGAGCATGAGAAACTCACCCCCTGCATCCACGACAAGTCGGATTGTATTGTACGTTGGCTCAAGGCAGACCCAGGAGTACGTAGACCTTGGATTACAAGCCTGAGATGGATGCTCAACTCCTGCTTTGCCAGTCCTGTGCCGGCGTTGGGTTCAAGTATGACCAGATTATTCTGTAACGGGTGGAACTTGAGGACCCTCGAGGACACCAAGACACAGTAAGGCACTTTAAAAGTCTTTATTAGCCAGGAGCTAAGACGTGGCGTTACCCGTAAAGGGCAAGGCTGGAGACAGAGTCGGTGAACAGGCGAGGGTCGTGGTGACAGGCAGAGTTCTTGGCAAGGGTCAGGCATAGAAACAAGGTCAGGAGGCTATGATCAGGATGAAAAACGCTGGAAGATTTACTGGCATGAGCCTTCAATAATCTGGCACTGAAAGGTTGGATGGCTGGTTCTTAAGTAGCAGGGGAAGCAGGTGTGTGTGATGAGCTGAGGAGTCAGGAGCAGGTGAAGTGGATGAAGCTGATGATATGTAGGCTGGGGTTGCTGTGGAAACAGGGCTTGATGAGATTACCAGGTGTGAAGCATGAAGGTTGATGAGATGAATAATGGTGCATGGAGGTCAGGGCATGGCAGGATCATGGCACACATTATCAGCAAAAAGCAGAGACCTGATTCTCAGACCACCAAAACCGATCCCCTCACCACCTTGGCTGTACCTAGAAATCCTGTCCATAAAAGTTGTGAACAGAATCGGTGACAAATGGAAGCCTTGGCCAAGTCCAACTCTTACCAGGAACAAAACAGGGACAAAACAGTCCATAG